TCAATCTTTTATATATATCTTTATTTATTGACACATTTCAATTACTATTGAAATTTTTTATAATATTTAATTAAATATTATATTTGTATATTTTTTAAAAAACCAAGAAAGATAAAAATAAACAATCGCACATAACCACAGAAACACACACATAAACACAGATAAAAAAACTAGTTAAAATTATATTTTTTTTTAAAATTTTTTTCATTAATTATTCATTTGTTAAAATTTTTATATTAAATTTTTTATTTTAAATATCCATTATTATAATCATAATAATAATAATCAATATCAATAATATAATAAAGATAAATCTAAAAACTAAATTAATTAAATAAATAAATACATATAATATAATATAAAATATACACATGGCTGATATACAAGGTTATTTAGTAAAGGTAAATAAAATTAAAGATAATATTTATTTATATATTATAAAATATTAATAAAAATAATAAAATTATTATAGCAAGGTGGATCAATTAAAACTTGGAAAAAAAGATGGTGTGTTTTAAAGAATGGGTCAATATTTTATTCAAAAAAAGCAAATAGTGGTGAATTAGGTATCATTCATTTAAAATGTGTTAGTTCAGTAGTTGCAAGTACAAAAAAGAAGAATAATTGCTTTGAAATCGAAACACCAGAAAGAACTTATTATATGAAAGCACCATCACCACAGGATATGAATCAATGGATCGAAGTATTAAATCAGCATTTAAAGAAACTAAAGGAACAAAGCAATGGCGCAAACGGATTGGCAAAACCAGAGCGTATTACAGTGGAAGATTTCGATTTATTAAAAGTTATTGGTAAAGGAAGTTTTGGCAAAGTAATGCAAGTTAGAAAAAAAGATAATAATAAGATATACGCAATGAAAGTTTTAAACAAGAATAACATTCTAGAGAGAAAAGAGGTCGATCATACACGTGCAGAAAAGAATATACTCCAAAAATTGGTTCACCCATTCCTTGTAAATTTAAATTATAGTTTTCAAACCAACGACAAGCTCTACTTTATCATGGATTATGTGAATGGTGGAGAGTTGTTTTTCCACTTGCAGAACGAGGAAAAGTTTGACGAATCGCGTGTAAAGTTTTATTGTGCAGAGATCGTTTGTGGTTTAGAGTATCTTCATAATTGCGGCGTTCTTTACCGTGACTTGAAGCCAGAGAATATTTTATTGACCGAAGATGGCCACATTTGTATGACCGATTTCGGCATCAGCAAAGAAGGTTTGCTCTCTGACAACGATCGTACCAAAACTTTTTGTGGAACACCAGAATATTTAGCCCCAGAGATTCTCAAAGGAAACTCCTATGGTAAAGCGGTCGATTGGTGGAGTTTTGGCACCCTGGTATACGAAATGCTTTCTGGTTTACCTCCATTTTACTCTCAAGACGTAAGAGAGATGTACAATAAAATTATAAACGAAGAATTAAAATTCACACCTCAATTCTCTGCAGAGGCCAGAGATTTCATATTGCTCCTCCTAGAGAGAGACCCAAATAAAAGACTAAAAGATCCAAAAATTATTAAATCCCATCCTTTCTTCAAAGGTGTCGATTGGGATAAATGTTTAAAGAAAGAATTAACTCCACCATTCATACCTCAAGTCAATGGTAAAGCTGATACAAGTCAAATCGATAGTGGCTTCCTTGTTGAAACTGCCAAATTATCTTTAGATCCAACAAGTTTAAGTTCCTCAATGCAAAAAAATTTTGAAGGTTTTACATTTATAAATGTTAATGAACATTTAAATACTTAATAATAATAATAATAAAATATATATAAATAAAAAAAAAAAATTAAAATAAAAAAAAAAAACTATAAAATTATTTTATACAACACCCTATTTAATATTTTTTTTCATTTTTTTTTTTTTAAAAATCTTACATCACACACCCATAAAAAAAAATCAAGATATTTCTTTTTTTCTTTTTCTTTTTTTTTTTATTTTAATTTATTTTTATTTTGAGTCAAATCATTCTTCTTGGGTTTGGAATCCCCAGAAAAAAAAATTGCATTGAATTGTTTGATTTTTTTTTTTTCTTTTTTTCTTTAAAACCTTTTTTTTTTTTTATTATTTTAAATTAAAATTTTTTTTTTTAAAATTTTTTTTTAATTTATTTTTTTAAAAATTTTTTTTTTTTTTTCATCATTCATAAATAAAAGAAATTTCTATAAATTTAATATAAATATTTATTACATATATTTGTTTTTTTTTTTGTATTACTATAGTAGCTATAATAATAATAACTCTTTTTATTTTTTAAATAATCATATATTCATATTCATATACATATAAAATGACAACAACAGAAATTAAAGTTGAAAATTCAGAAAATATCGAACCATTATTACATACCAAAGTAGGTAATGCCACAAATGCTAATTTCCCAGTTGACGATAGAGGCGCAGTTTATCATTTAGGTGTTGCTAAAGGGGAATGTAAATATAGTCTATAATAAGAATAGTTTATTTTTTCAATATTATATAACTTTATACTAACATTAAACTTTATTATTTATAATATTACCTTTCATTTTATTATTATTAAAATTATACTCTTATTCATTTATTTTTAATTATAAATATTTTTTTATATTAAATATCTTTATTTTTTTTTCATATTTTTTTTCATATTTTTTTTCATATTTTTTCATAAATATAGTATCACCAAGAATTTTAACAGTAGGTGATTCAGAACGTGCTGCAAAACTTAGAAATGAATTATTAGAAGATGCTGAAAAACCAGTTTCACACAGAGGTTTTGTAATTCATAATGGTAAGTATAAAGGTGTTAAAGTTTCAATTGTGTCAATTGGAATGGGTCCATCTATGATGGACTTTTTAGTTAGAGAAGGTAGATACGTTGTAGAAGGTCCAATGGCAATCATTAGATATGGTACCTGTGGTTCATTAAAGGATGTTAAAGTTGGTTCATTAGCCGTTGCAAGCCAAGCAGTTTTAATTCGTAGAAACCCAGATTTCTGGCACCAAGATAAACACAGTGATTGTAAAAACTATGACATCTCATTACCAGTTGATGGTGATAAAGAATTAGTTCAAACTTTAACAAACGAATTTAGAAGCACCTTTACTGACAGAGAAACCGTTGTTGGAATTAACGCCACTGCCGACTCATTCTATAGCAGTCAAGGTAGAATCGATCCAGAATTTGATGACGATAACCACAATTTAATCAACACCCTCATTGAAAAATTCGATAATAAAGTTACAACTCTTGAAATGGAAACCTTCCAATTATATCATTTATCAAAACGTTCAAAACAACCAATTAAAGCTGCTGCTGCCACAATCATTTTAGCCAATCGTTTAAGCAATGCTTTCCTCGATAACGAAACTAAATCAAGATTAGAAATTGAAGGTGGTAGAGCTTGTTTAGATGCTTTAATTAAAATTGATTTAAATAACTAAAATTATATAACTTTAAAATAAAAATAAAAAATAAAAAATAATAAAAAAAATAAAACAAACTAATGTGTTTTTAAAAACTTTTTTTCAATCTTTTTTTTAACCAAATTTGATAATCAATTTTTTTTAAAAATAGTTTTTGTGTTTTGTGAATAAAACCCCATGCAACCACCACCCACTAAAAATTATTTTTTTAAAATTATTTTTTATTAACAACCAACTCACACCCACACTGAACCCACTCACACCCACAGATTTACAATCAATAAAATAATATTGCTGTATTTTTTTGGGCATATTAATAAATTTTGTTTAATATTAAAGTTTAATCAAAAAAATAACTTTAACACACAATTCCAAAACTAGAACAAAATTTTAAATTATTATAAAAACTTTTTTTTTTTTCATTAAAATTATAATTTTTTAAAAAAAAACAGCAAAAATATATATATATAATGTGATGTTATGTATATTATTTTTATCAATAATCCATTTTTGGAACCATTTATTTATTTTAATTTAATTTATTATTTTTATTTTTTTATTAAAATTTTTATTTTTTCTTAATAAAAACCATAAAATAAATTATTTTATTCAAATATAATTTATAATATATATAATTAAAGATGGAGTTAGAGAATTTAAATAAAGGTGTTCAGTTAACTTTTGAAAATATAACTTACAAAGTAGAAAATAAAAAATATAAAAAACAATTAAAAAAACAAGCAAGTTTAGAAAAAAAGAATTTAGAAAATGTAACAAACCCATCAATCATTGAAAAGGTTGAGAAAGAATTAACAATTTTAAACAATGTTAGTGGAGTTATTGAAAAAGGTATAGTAAAAAAATTTATAAACTATCATTATCTTTATAGTAGTACTTATTTTTTTATTTAAACCAAAATAGGTGAACTATGTGCATTAATGGGGCCTTCAGGTAGTGGTAAATCAACTCTATTGGACATTTTGGCTGAGCGTAAATCAACTGGAAAAATTACAGGTAAACTATTAATTAATGGAAAAGAAATTGGTGCTGCATATAAAAAAGTAATTATTTTTCAAAATAAAACATTATTTTTTAAAATATTAAAATAAATTTTTTTTTTTTTCTAGTATTGTTCATATGTAACACAGGAGGACATTTTATTACAAACTTCAACAGTTTACGAAATTATAAAGTTTTATGCTGATCTAAGATTACCATGTGCTTCAGAACAAGAAAAGGTTAAAAGAGTAGAACAAGTTATTGATGAAGTAGGTCTTTCGCATAGAAGAGATTCTAAAGTAGGTGGGGTTTTACCAGGTGGTATAGTTATTAAAGGGCTTTCAGGTGGCGAAAAGCGTAGGGTTTCTATTGGATGTGGTTTGGTTACCAATCCATCTTTAATTTTTTTAGATGAACCCACAAGCGGTAAATATTATCAATATTTATAATAAATTAAATATAAAAAATATTAATTATTTGCTATTATAGGTCTTGACTCTGTAACGGCTTTATCAATTATGAAAACCCTACAGGATCTCACAAAGAATAAAGGATGTACCGTTGTTGTTGCAATTCAC